CAAGGAAAGACTTAAATAAGTTATATTTTCTTGCTACTACATATAAATAGCTACCTTAAATTTTAGAATATATCAATTGACTCTGTTTTTTATTACTAATGGTCCAATGACTATTTAAATCGATTAGATACGTGTTACGTGATGCCATTGCTGGCCGCACAGCATAAACCGACTAATCTAAACCGCAAGCCACTTTTTTCATCGAAATGTGCGGAAAAGTAATTATGTATAATGAACAATGCTGTTACAAACGCACAATGGACCGGTTCTCCATTATTATCAACTAGGCTTGCCAAAATAAACACTTAGCCCAGTAAAAAATGACTGACTCCGTACAGTCGGTAAACTGGCCTACTTGCCAATGTAAATGTTTAAATCGTCTTTTTAATCTTAAAGGTACCAACCAAGTTAGTATTGCAATTTTTAAGACTATGATCAAAGACCCTAATAAAGATCAGATAATGTATATGTTAGCACAAAACAAAATTATATTTATAATTGTATTGTATAATTCATTAAGTAATTTATAATACTTATATTGCTCTTATTAACATTAAAACTATTCGTAACTAGTTTTTCCGCATGGACTTAGTGATTCAGACAGATTTTTACCAAATCTGTTTTTTCATCATTCTGCTTACTATTTAAAATACATAATGTTAGTGGTTCTATATTTGAAAACATAATTAACGTGTCAAATTCGGGATAATCTATTATACGAGTATATAAATCAATTGCTGTTCGTTAGTCTCGCTAAAACTCGAGAACGGCTGAATGGATTTATTTTATCTTGGTCTTGAAATGTTCGTGGAGGTTTAAGGAAGGTTTAAAAGGTGAGAAAATATGGGAAAATTGCGTGGAAGATAGTAAAAACGTCAATTCAATTTTCCCATATAAACTGTCCTATCTTCTTTCCTGTCAAACATTTATTTACGTAGACTCGGTCCGTCATTTCTTCCAAATTATTTCAACCCGTACGAAGTACGCGGGGTCAACTAGTTATTAATAAATAAAGCGGGTCATTCCCTGAAAAAATATACATTAATCGTGACGTGAAGTTTTAGATCAGAACAGAGAAACTTACAAAAGTATTATGATAAACCTCTAATGACTGTCTAGGATAGAATCATTATGTCCCAGATACATTCTTCTTGCTACCCCGGTGGTTGAAGGATGCGCAAGACATTTCCCAGACATAAAAAAAGGTTGGAAGTCCTATAGCCGGTAAAAAGACGACGATGTGATAGCTTTAGGTTTGTCAGTATTAGTAGTAATAATTCATTAACAGATGAAGAAAAAAGTATACATATTGGGAACCGGCGAAACTGTTGAATTTCGTTTGATTTTGACAAAAATAAGGATCGAAGACTTACAACATATGTACTTTAATATAGGTTCATGGGGAACGTGCCGATAAGATAAAAGCACTTAAATGGCCCTTAGTAAAAGTATCTGTGCACTACAGTAACAGTAAAAGGTCTGATAACAACCAATTAGCGATTGTAAATGTTGAAGTCCTTTGAAAGACAGAAATACTGTGGTAAACACTAAACACTGACGATGCAGTAGGTAAAATATCAGTAGAGTTCTTAAACACTTTGAATATAACACAACTGGTATTCCATATTACAAACTTTCACCACTTTTCGATACGCTTAGCATGTTCCTATTGACCTCAAATTAAATTTTGTTGTGAATTTGTCATTGCAAGTCAGAAACCTAAATATTAAACAGAATGTGTAAGGTAGAAGAAGGTGATAATTTAAAAAGATGAAGTGTCCAACCACTTTATACTTGTTAAAATGCAATAGAAACAAACTTTGGGGTGAACTTACACGGGAGCATGCCACATAGAATTGACCGGGGAGAAACAGTCCTGTCGTAGGTCTACTCTGCGACTTATTTATGGTCATGGTGAAACAGACCTTCAGGCAAAACTGGAACCTTTTGAATGTAAAGGGGAGATCATTTGGTATTAATGGGATACGTGGTACAAACACTGCTTCTCCCTGAGCAGGTCCGGTCAAAGTTGTGGCTTCTACTACGTTCCGATGCAAAGCTTTGACTTGCAACCTGGTGCCGTTGCAAAATTTGGGTGACTTTAAATTTCTTAATAACATAACAGGTGTACCCACACGCAGTAAAAGTCTGTGGTGTGACAGGCCCAGTGGGTTCAGTGTTTCAGAACTCTACTGGATAATTAACGGCATCGTTAGTGTTTACCACAGTATCTATTGAGTTATTAACAATCTGTTGTCATTTAAGGAGTTCAGTAATATGTAAGTAAAGACCGCTACTTGGTCGTTCTCTGGGGTTAGTATAGCTCTTTCACATAACCACTCTCGATTTTTCCGAGATGAGCGCAACGTCTCGATACATTTTTGAAATCCAGTTTTCAACTGTTGTTACTGAAGTGCACAGATCGGAAGAGACAGATATCATTCCATCTTTTTCTGGGTAATCACCGTTACCCAGTTTTAGCAAAAGATCAAGATTTTTGTTAATTTTAAGATTTTAACTGAGGGCCACAATGATGATCTTTTAAGACATGCTTTTATCTTATCGGCACGTGATCCCCTTGGAACTACTGGTAGAGTTTGACGAGTCTCGTGCCAGCAATATAGCCAAATCACCCATCAAACTTTTGTTGCTGCGTATGTCTTGCAGAGTCCTATTCAAAGCTTCTTTACCTTTTTTATGGGTCATAGTACTTTCATTCCAGACAGTAATTTTAATTTTTCTCAATACTTCTACAAATTTGGTTTGTTTTGGAATATTACATAATTTCCACATATTTTAGGGTTCAGTGGCAACTTTAAGGCAGATGTGACTGATAATTAAAACTTCTGCATGGCCCATGTGTCATATATGAAAAAAAATATAGTATTGAATTTCAACACTATTCCGGAATAAAACCTACGTTCGGTATCCTACGAGATCCTATTAATAATGTTCGAAATTTCATTTAAACTCGTTTAAGTTATTTTGTTTGGAGTAGGAACATCCATATAAATCAACTTTCATGTTAATAATGTTGAGTAACCAGGATGGATACTAACACAATTAAATTAATCAGTAGAAAACAAAATAATTAGCCCCAAAACTTAGAAATGAAGTAACATACTTAATGTTTATTTAGCTATACTTATACTATATTTAAAAATGTATGTAACAAATTTATTAAAGTATGTAGACTTACCTGCTTATGTTCTATAAACATGTAAGTATGTTATTACAAATGAAACTGTTATTGTGCGGCTCGTGTCATAACATAAGCTATATTCGGATAACCTAACAATAAACTACCAGTAACTCAACAATCAGAGTAGGAATCATCAGTTAGTGTGAATTATTCTACGGAAATGGATATTTTAATAGCTACCTTCGCCGTTTCGTCTTCATTGACAGGTAAATCAGACAATCGTCAATTAATATTAAGTTTGGGTTCAAAATCATTAGATTTTAATTGATGTACTTACAGGTATTACGCTTAAGCAAATAGTTGCCTACATTAAAATACGTAAAAATAATTACATCTACAATTATTCCCACGCGGATTGAACCCTATCATGTTATTTTATTATTATTTTTGATTGCAAATTACAATAACGCAGCACCTATGAAATAATACCTACTATGGAAGTTAGATTATTATAATCAGATCAATAATTATAACTTTATCACATCAATATACTGTAGGAAACAGTAACTTCGTGGTGTTTAATTTATTTGATAATAGCAGCGGCGCCTGGGCGATAAATTGCACCCTAATTTTCACCCTCTTTAACACTCAGGTGTAATCCCGAGGAACGGGTGGATATGGGATAGAAACTATTCTATGTTCTTTTCTTGGACTCATACTATCTCTATCTGTTATCTAAATCAATTCAGCGGTTTAGGCTTAAAGAATCTTAAATTTAATTTGAATCCTTAAAGAATTAAAAAATCCCCCTTTTCCCTTTCCACAACCGGACGACCAGGCGCGACGAGGGCTTCCACTCTTATGTTGTCGATATTCCTCCCATTCGCACGAAGCGATTTGCTTCCGCCTTCATTATGCGAACGGCTAGGGAGCGGAACTCCTTGCCGAGGTCTGTTTTCCAGGACCAATATAATCTGGACATCTTCAAGGCCAGAGTGAACAGGCATCTTCTAGGCAGGCGTATACCATCCTAGGCCTCATCATCGCTTTCCATCAGGTGAGATTGTGGTCAAACGCATTGCCTATTTTAAATAAAAAAAAAGAATAAAGATAGAGACACTTTCGCATTTATAAAATTGGTATGGATTCATTAATTGATAAAGTAGTATAGGCATATATTTTTCTTATGTTTTACACGCACCCTAAATGTGATTCATTTAATTATTCGGACGAATTTTTAATTATATTACATCCATCCATCATTCTTTTAATCTCACTGCTAGGGTACAGGCCTTCCCTATGAATGGAATAGGAAGATAGGGTCATGAGTTCATGACGTACCATGCGGGCCCAATGCGGATTGGTGGGTGCTAACGATTGCAACTACAGCCGGAACCAATGGCTTGACGTGCCTTCCAAAGCACCGCGGAGCTCGAGTAAATACGTTTTTAGTTACCGATCTAATAATAATAATATAATATTTCCTAGACTCACAACTATTTAGCCTAGCCCTAAAGTAGGCACTGTAAGTCTTGTGTTATGCAGACATCATATCACTAGGTTAACGGATAGAATACATATATAAGTATATTTATATATGTAATATAATAATCCATAACTCAGGTTCAAATGATCGTATTCATCATACATTGCCAACCACTGGAATTCGAACCGGGACCTCACGAGTAGGTGATGACACCTTGAAACCCGGCGTTTATACCACTCGGCCACGGAGGTCGTCAATGACAGGCCATTGCGGAAGTTGCTTAACTTCCACGATCTTAAGTCCAACGTGCTAACCACTTGGGCCATCAAGCTTAATCTCTATTTATTATAGTATTTATAATTTCTGTTACAGAAGCGTCCAGACTGATGCTATGGCTGACGATGCTCGGTACGGCGCGGGCGCAGGCGGTCCCAGCCGACATAGAAACACCGCCGTTCAGCACGCTGTATAAATGGAAACATATCGATTTCGAATTTCCTTCTCCTCAGCAACGGAGCCAAGCTATCGCTAATGAGTAAGATATCATAGAGAAAGAAAAATATTTTCTTTCTTTGGGCAAAAACGAATTTGATACACATGTAGTGTAAAACATTTTGTAAATCCGTGGGATTTTGTTGACCAGGCCGATCTCTCAGTGTCCCAAAAAATTCCGAAATTTTTTAATGCAATATTCTCATCCCCTTGTATTCCCATCCACTGTCACAGATAAAATAACGGTTACCTCCTTTTTTTAAGATATTCGACATAAAACAAAAAACAAAGCTGGGTTGCATCAAATAAAATGTCAATGAGCAAATTAAGATGCCTTCCATTACAACGTTATCACAACACCAACTCGAAGTCTAAGCAATCACTATTTGAATAAAGAAAACGAACAAGAAATGACTGTTTAATGCTTGCGTTGTTTAGACTCTGACGAAAATAAAATGAGATCCGAATGACGCTCAATGATTGCACTATTTACGGTCGCTTTACCTTTAATGGGTTTTGCACAAAGTACTTTGGTTTTTCGGGCTACGAAGAGCAAAAGATAAAACCGTTACGAACTTACTTATATTTTAAGAAAACTATTAGAATATACTAATGTTAATACAACTTCACAATGGCTATAGTGCATAATACGTAAGGTTAATTTTAAGTAGAAAAAAAGCAACTTCTTCATGTTGGATTCGAACCAGCAAATATTGTTATCCGACCTCATGGCTACTTATGTTTTTATGGACGTAACAAATTGCTAGTAATATTATATGTAGTAATATTTTAGGCTACAAGGCAGAGTAGAGTGAAAAATTTAGTAAAATTATCTTTGGATATGAAAATCTAGCCGCTTAATGTTAAACTATTATTTTACAGTGATCAAGCTTGCTTTGCTTTGCTTGCAGTAATACTATTAGCATTTATAACATTAATTAATCCCTTCTAAGAATTAATAAGTTTGACGACCTCCGTAGCCGAGTGGTTGGTACGCTGGTGGCCGGGTTACTCGATAGGTTCCGGGTTCGAATCCTGGTGGGGGCAGATGTTTGTGTGATGAATACGAGCATTTGTACTCCACTCCAGTCATGGATGTTTAATATGTATTTCTATAAAAATATATTTATTTATATACAGTATATGAATTCTATCCGTTTCCCTAGTATTTTAGTTACCGTTAACACAAGCCTCATAGTGCTTTCTTTGGGGCTTGACTAATTGGTGTGAGTGTTAAATTAAAAAATATTTAAAAAAAGTTAGATTCTATCCTGGTGATGACTCGGTATCGAATTGACAACCGAATGGCATAGTCACTACTGTGTCTGTCCTACTTGCTTTCTATTATAAACATGCATAAGAATGTATACCATTCCCAGAAGTGACATATAAATTTGATAATCACAAAGGTTGGTCCTAGGATCTTCACTGAAAGCATTAGTGATAGTTCACAATCATAGCCCATTGTCTGCGAAATTCCCTGTAATGTTATTACACAAGAAAATTATCAAGACATTATGTTTTCTTTCACTCACTATCTAGTGCTTATGACAAAACTATAATTTCTTTAAATTTGTTTCAGGCAATACATACCTGAGAATGTCCTACCTCTGGGTCTGGAAGTATGGGGCTCCCGAATATGGGTGACGTTGCCCAGTTGGAGACGCGGTGTGCCCGCCACTCTAGCTACAATACCACGGGACGGTGGTCTGACGTCACCACCGTTACGACCCTATCCCGACTGGTCTTACCACAGGGCATATAGTAAGTGTTGTTAACAAGTAAAATGACGGGACTTAAGTTAATCGCGTTTTCCTCATTAATCAGTCGTGAATCGTTACAATTTTGATGTCTGCTTTTTTACTTTTGTTTTCTTGCTTGATGTTGACTTTTTGGTTAAATTTTACTAAGACTTGAATATGAAATGACATGACAGTTAAAGTAAGTTGGTGTAACTCATGCCATAAATGGAGTTCAATCGCAGTTGTAGTTAATGAGATAAAAAGCTTTTCCATGTAAGTTCAACTAGTAGGTAGGTCTCATGCAGACAAGAATCGCAAAATTCAAGTCTGACACATTCTTGTTTACGGCGAGGAATAGTATATCCTTTAATTAAGTACTCTATTGTCTATGCACTTCTGCTATCAATCGCTAAATCTTTCGTCATCTTGGACTTTGATTTTACAAACTAAATGAGGGCATTTGGTAGTACTACTGCTGCTAGGATTTTTTTTTCATGTAACATGTAAGTTGCTTGTTTTAAGACTGGTAGCTGTCTTAAAACAATTTTTGGTCAGTGTGAGATTCACCACTAGTTACTCAGGTACTTAATATAAGCTTCGCTTTAGGGCATAATTGCAGCGTTTTACCTGATTTCAGCCATTAAGTTGTTGTTCGATTGCAACTTATTACAATATTACAAAGACTTTTCGTCACACTCTAAAATAGAGTCCCGAGACCCTTCATTTCTGTACCGGTTTAATGAGATAAGACAGGCTTTGACGTGTGCTGTTCTCTTATCTGTATAAATCAAATAAATAAATATATGAGATTTTTTTTTATTTGCTGCAAATATAGATCAATAATGTGTTTAAGCAGACTTTGTCCAGCCCAGGAGGATATTTTTCATACTTCACGTACAAATATATTATTTACTTTATTAGCTAAATGTGTATAAATAGTTAGTTATAACCAGGCAAATATAAAATGAAGTGGTATTTCTAGTGGTTCATTCTGAAAATAGATGTTTTAACTATAAATGCGCTAGTTAAACCGAAAACATGTGACTTTCTTAACTCGAATTCTCCACAAAACTCTTCGAATACTTGCTTAGTGTCTGGTGTCTTCAATTCACGTGGCTATTCGCATTTGCTATTTGTAAAAATGTCAACAGTCTCCTCTTTTCAATACAGAACATGAAAAGGATTTACTGCTGTCAAAATTTGAAATAGCAAATACGTATAGCTGTGTGAAATGCTAGCATGAATGTTTGGATGTAAATAAATGTCACAAACAGTCGCTAATGCCAAAATAGGAGCATATTTTGATAGTATTATTTGTCAAAGAGGTCTTAAACTAAAAAATAAGAACTAATCCTTATCTAAAAAAAATATATAAATACAATGAATACATGGTGATCATTTTCAACAGGGCTGAGTGTGAAATTCTCTTAGTAAGCTGTTTTCATGTTCACATTTTTAATGTAAAAAAAAAACAATTTAAATGTGAACATCAGCATTAATATATTTTCTTTTTTTCATCTCAAAAGAATTTACTCTAGAACCGAGATAGTCTTATATATAGTTGTATATATGAGAAGTTTATTATATTATATTAAACATTTTCAGCTAATCAATTCAGTTTTAATAATAAAGCAGGTTTCTTTTTCTTGTAAAAAAGTTTCTTAGTTTACCTAATTTTGAAATTCGGGTTCTATATTTGATAAACATAATAGGTATACAATTTTTGTTTTTAATTTTAATAATTTATGGGCATCGACAGTAGGGTGTAACTCTATATATTTTAAACTTATTAATCTCATCTCTTATATATAAAAAAAATGTGTCACTATGCTAGTTACTATACTCCTCTGAAACGGCTTGACCGATTTTTATGAAATTTTATATACATATTACGTAGGTCTGGGCCGATTCCCAGATATTATTAGTGATAAGGTGTTTTCCACCCCTAACATTTATTTTTTATTTTTGGACACATTTTTTAATATTTTTTTTATAAAACTGGTATTCAAAAATACATATATGGAACTCTTAATTTTTACCTTTCTACCGCCAACCCCTATTTTTATGGCGGTACGAAGTTCGCTGAGTCAGCTAGTATTTTATAGATTTGTGCATCAAAGTTTCAATACAATCATATTTATATCAATAATTCATATAATTATGTTGATCCTAATATCATAATGATTTTATTCATAACTATTTAGTTAACATTTATTTATAAATACAATACCACAGAATCGAAATCCTCAGAAAATGTTATTTTAACTTCTTCATGACAAAAAATAATTTCCGTATTTCAGGTAAAGATGACAACTGCTCAAGTCTCACTTCAGTATTTCGTGTGAATGCTGATTCCTGTGGAAGACTGTGGGTCCTCGACTCCGGCCAGATTGATGCACAAGACCAACCGATACAAAAATGTCCTCCCAGCATTTTTGTATTCGATTTAAATACAGATACGGTTATAAACCGATTTATAATTCCTCGGCAATACGTTTTGCAAGATTCTTTATATTCAAATATCATAGTTGATACTCGGACCGCCGACTGCTCAGATCTACATCTTTATATAGCTGACACTTGGCGTTTCGGACTTTTAGTTTTTCGAGAAAAAGATGCTCAATTTTGGCGTTTTTCTCATCACTTATTTTATCCTGATCCGTTAGCATCTAATTATACTGTTCACGGTGTTAATTTTCAATGGCCGGACGGAATTTTTGGTTTGTCATTGAGTCCGATCACACCTTACCAAGAACGAGTACTATTCTTTCATTCGTTATCCAGTTACAGAGAATTTTATGTATTGACAAAAATAATAAGAGATCCCACGAGACTAAACAATAGTACCTCAGAATTCAATATCGTTGGCGACAGTAGAGGTTTCAAAGGCCAATCATCAGCATCAGCTGTTGATAGAAACGGTGTCATGTATTATGGGTTAGTTTCACAAGATAGCATCGGTTGTTGGGATACCACTAAACCGCATAGAAAGAATACTATCGGAGTGGTAGCGAGACACTCGGAGACACTTGTGTTTCCTAATGACATAAAAGTGGATCAAGATGAACAGCAAAGCGTGTGGGTGATATCTAACAAATTGCCGCTGTTTCAAGCTAGGCGTTTGAATCCAAACGACTATAATTACCGAATATTGTTTGCGGATACGAAAGAAGCAGTTAGGGGAACTATTTGCGATCCTGAAATGCGTATACTATTTTAAAGTTCCTTGCCATAAAGTAAAGTTAATTAGACACTAGGCTACATTTTGAACCAATTTTATTTATTGTTTACCTTACATGCCATGCTAATGGAATTGTCATGTTTATTTCCTATTGTTATTATATAAATAAAGTAGTTATAAGTATGTGTATTTTAATTTCGTAGTTGTTTCGAAGACTTATAAGTTGTTACTATTTTCAACTACCCACTTATTGTAATTTTCCATTCAAGGTTGTGTCTCAAATACTTTTAATACAAATTATTTTTTATGATTTTATATTTTACTAGCTATCCCAGCGAACTTCGTACCGCAATAAAAAAATAGGGGTTGATTTTAAAGGGTTCAAAATTCAGGGTTATATGTATTTACTAATCATAAAAAAATTAAAATAAAAAAAATATCTAAAATTAAAAAAAAAAAAATAGGGGTGGATTACCCTTCACATTTAGGGGGATGAAAAATTGATGTTGTCCGATTCTCAGACCTACCCAATATGCACACAAAATTTCATGACAATCGGGAAAGCCGTTTCGGAGGAGTTTAACCACAAACACCGCGACACGAGAATTTTATATATTAGATTTATTCTGTGTACGTAATGTAGTTTAAATGGCAGCAGAGCTAAACCTCATAAATTCAAGTTGCACCCTGGAACTCGCATTGTTTGAATCGACACCTTGGAAAAGTTAACATTCATAATAACGACCTCCGTGGCCGAGTGGTGGCCAATTTGAAAAAATTTTTTTTCAAATTGGCCGTCCAATTTGAAAAAAATATTTTTTTATTTATTTATTGAGGAAGGCTTAAGGCTATAATATATTACGCTGCGACCAGTATCGATGTAAAATGTTGTAAAATATTCCATTTGGGAGATTCCGTTGCGTGCGCTGCGTAAATGTTTAAAGTTACACAAAAAATGTATGACGGAAAGTCCGCGACAGCATATGCCCATCTTTTAAGTTTGACTCACTATAACCTTTTTCCTCAATTTAACTCGGGTGAAATTCTAAATTTACAATTTTCAAAAACCTCTAAAATTATCAGTGTTTCTCTACTATATTTTACATGAATTATACATATAAATCTTCCTCTTGAATCACTCTATCCATTAAAAAAACCGCAACAAAATCCGTTGCGTAGTTTTAAAGATCTAAGCATACATAGGGAGAGACAGACAGCGGGAAGCGACTTTGCTTTATACTATGAAGTGATAAACAAAACAGAGTACCGATACACTGAACTATAAAAAAAACCCGATAAAAAAAAATTCAAAAAGGCAAAAATAAAAAAATCTCGGCCTTTTAACTCCATGAATTTAAAAAACCTATTAATATTTTTAAGATGAGCGTCGTCACGTCGGAGGACCGCTAAGTGAAGCAGTATAAATAATCACTGATATACTATACCTACTACTACATCGGTACCTAGAAAATTGTATTTTTTATGATTTTATATTTTATTTATTCTATGTACGTACTACTTTAATTCTAGTTAGAGTAGCTAGTGAGTAGGTATAATTTATAAAAATTATCTGTCAAACAAAATCAAGGTGATCAGTTGGAACACAACGCCTTGAGAACCAGTTTACAGCATTTTTGTAATTTATAGTGGTCGAATTTTGTCCTTAATATTACTCATCTCTTGAGATGAATATACCTACTTTTGAATTAAGTAGCAAATTCTTTTCATTATAAAAGTTGTTATACAACAAAATACTTGTTTGCGCAACCGCAGAACCTGCAACTTCTCTAAGTAAATTAAGGAAACGTATTGTGATATTATACTCTAAGAGAGGCACACGTGTTGGTAAACAATTTTGGTGAACTTTATTGTGCATATAAATGGTGTGATAATTGTTTGAGGTAAGGAAGCTTCTATTTTATTTTGTTGTTTCTTGTTGAATGAAATGATATAAGTTTTAGATTGATAATAATAGTTTTGTGGTAATGAAATATAATCTAGTAGAATTAATTTGATTCCAAAACATACACAGCTTTTCGCATGTATAATACAAATGCTAGGTTATCTAAAAATATCTTTAGGTGATTTAGGTATGATATTATTATATTATTTATTGCTAAAGTTTTTCCTCAAAATTGCTGCAAATTAGTTTCGTTTGGCATTGGTTGTCTCCTACCTATCCTACAACGAAATAAACATGTTGCGGTTAAAATTAGACGAGTTTTTACATTTTATTGGTACTCGTAGTTTTAAAAACAAAACCCATATAATTTTTATGCTCTTAAATAATATAAAAAATTGAGCTGCAATTGTCTGAAACTAATAAGGTGCAAAAGTCACCCCTTTTGCTTTTCTCATGGGCCGCCTGATGGTAAGCGGCCACCATAGCCTTTTTTTTGAGTGTGTATGCTGTTGACCTTTAGAGCTTCACCGGGTTTGGGGACGGCGAGATCCCAAAGGGGACCTCACGCCGAGAATTGGCGAGTGCCTCTAGAGGTATTCCAGGCGGCTGGCATCTCCCCGTGGGGGGAGACTTCTCTCCGTCACCATAGCCTTGCTATACCAAAAATATCACTCGCGCCGCTGCCTACAAACTGACCCTATCCCCTCCCCCGTGGAGTACCGATTCCATGTTAAATTGGTATTACTTGGTTGTAAGCACGGTTGTAAGTTGTTGTTTCCAAAAATTTGCAGGTTGCGCAATCTATGTATTTCTTTTGTCCCCAGTTCAACAACTTTTTAAACTAAGCTTAGAATTAAATATAATTGTACCTACATATAGGTTTTAGGGAATTGGGTCATCCATCCGTGACCAAAAATGTATCATCTCGAGCCCCTTCGTGCTTCGAAAGACACGTTCAGCCGATGGTTCCTGTTACATTTTCAGGCGTTAGTACCTAGTAGATAATAAGTAGGTACTGGTATCGATTCTGGCATGATTCACTAAACTTAAAACTAAAATTAACATCAGTTTTTCCTCTTCATTCTGTATAGAGAATGAAAAGGATACACTGTTGTCAAGTTTAGGTTTAGAGAATCATTTCAGAATCGACTACACTACCGTATTCATAGGTACTAATCATGATATTTCATGGCCCAATCTGGCTATTCTATCTTAGGATAGGCTTGTACCTCAATCAGCAGTGATGAGATGAACAGGTTGATGATTAATGTATTATGCTCATTTCATACATCATATTTTGACCCTTGCAAGGGCATCATAATCTAAAGAGTACTTCCTGTTGACCTAACATCATGAAAAACAAGAAGCAATAACTGGAAGTACAAATAAAGGAAGGAATAATTTAAAAAACTATAATAACCATATAGAGCTGATGCCCTTGTTTACCTATTCAATTATTTAGGTATCTTCAAGTTTGTACGGAACCTTGTGTGCGATAGTCCGACTCTCACTTGACTTACCTATTTGTATAATAATAACAATTTTAGGATTCAACTATACATCCACTTATCTGAGTTTATTATGCTTAATAGGCATGAGAATTTGAAAATAAATACCTATTCGATTTATAAACTAGGTTGGTGTAATTATATTTGGAGGGTAATAATAGTATTTCTCTATTTGCTGTGCCCTGTTCAGGGTCTACAATGATCAAAGCAATGTACCTACTAAGATCTAAGAAAACATTGTAGAACGCAATAAAGTATTGATTGATTGATTAAGTTTAATATTATTTGTTTTTGCTCACCAAGTTATGAACTCCTAGAATAACTTAATTGATATCAACTTAGGTAGGCAGATATAGAAATATTATTGAATATTTGGTTGTGGCATAAATTAAAAAAATACAATCCGGCTTAAATAATAATCATCATCATAGGTAGCCGCATCATCTATCTTCGCGACTGCACTCCACTTACATTTAACATCAGGGCCATTTGTTTCACCGTATATAAAAAGTAACATTAAATGATACTATGAACCTGAAAAGAATTTAATAAGTATACGAGCCACACCCATATTGTATCGCTATGTGTCAAGTTACATATTGCTCCGAGCAATTTTTTCGGAACCTGTTACTTGCTTAGTGGCACAAATCAAGTCAACCCAGTATTCAGGTTAACTATGTTATAATTACATAAAATGTAGTAATTTAAATTGTTAATGAATTAGATTCATTGTTAAAACACAAGAACCATCAATAGTAAGTTTACCTTACTTATTTCCCGGTTTTCAGTGCGGATGACTTCTACGAATCCGTAATAGGCCCGCGTGGTGGGTCATGTCCCGATCTCCCTATCTTTTCCTCAGGGTAGACCTGTGCCGCAACAGACATCAATACGTTGACGATAAATAGTACATTGTTCACCGAGGGGAGAAAATGACCGATTGCCAACGAGAATGTAGTTTGAGGCTCAAGACGCGGCCAAGGTTCTTAATACACCCGAGTTGGGAATATCACTTTCTTTCGAAGGATACATAGTGCTTTATACTAAACCTACCTACGTGAAAATAGAAGACAAATTCTTTAATTGAAATTTATATTAAAGTTGTTGCAGTTATATTTTCTTTTCCTGTGAACTTTAAATTGATGCCTTGATTACACGGGTAATAGGTTTTTAATGAGTGCTTAGGTCAGCTTTGGTAGTTTCTTTCAATTCTGGCAGTGTTCATAAATCTTCAGTATCATTTATACGCCCCGGTTTGAATAGATAGGAAAACAAATTAAAATTTCAATTAAAATAAAAGAATCAGCTATATTTAATTTTTATTCTTTACTAGCGGCCGCCCGCGACTTCGTACGCGTGGAGTTAGTTACTTACACATACTTTTTGACCCCAAAAGGGAGTTTATTTCTAAAGATACATTATTAGTATACCTCTACACCATCTATAGAGCATACATGTTAAATTTGAAGTCTCTTACTTCAAAAACATAGGACTTTCATACAAACTTCCAACCCCCGTATTACACCCTTAGGGGTGGAGGTTCGTGAAATTCGTTCTTAGTGGATATCTACCCTAAAAGGAACCTACCTGTCAAATTTTAAGGTTGTAAATGTTATAGTTTCTGAGATTTCGTGATTAATCAGTGAGTGGTATTTCGCTGCGACGTCGTCTGCGTGAACGCTATACAGCACCAAAAATACCTACGATTATACCTTTTAAAATAACATTAATTTACCCGTTTCTTTTTAACATTTCATATCTACACAAAGTGCAGTAACAGAGGGAGACTGTCTTTTGTAAAATTGACCTTCAAAAAGTGCTGATTCTCAGCCTGCTTTGAATAAATGACATATTATGATTCTGCTGAATTAAGTCATAAGTTGTGACTGAAGCAGATGGAGAATATAATGGATAAGGAATACAGAATAGGGTAAAAATACATACTTATAGGACTTCTCGATAAACAACCGGACATATATACAGACAAACAGACAAAAATTCGAAAATCTATATTTTTAGCTTCGGTATCGATTGTAGATCACACCCCAAGTATTCTTTTAAAAAATATTCAATGTACAGTTTTGACTTTCCTACCATTTTATTATTTGTATAAACTCAAAATTCATATTCAGAGAAGAAAATCATAATGTTAAAATAAATATCGCGAAGTCTGCAAAATGATACTGACCACCTCTCCTTTGGAACATTAATAAAAAAAACAGCACGTTATCAATGAATTTTCAACTTGGAGTTTTCATATTTTTCTTCCCGCTCAGCGCGTTAACAATGGATTACCAGCCCACTAAGTAGTACAACAATAATAAAGTCTTTTTTGCTTTATTACAAAGCACTTTCAGAGCAGGTATTGTATAAACAAATTTTATACTGTACCTGCTTGTAAAGTGCCATAATCTTATTTAACGTACTATTAAATTAATTGTTAACGTGCTGTTTTTTTTAATTTATGTTCCGAAAAAGCAAGTGGTCAGTATAGTTTTATAGGTTTTATGAAATATTTTTATACACAAATTATTCATTGACTTGTTTAAAGGAGAGCGGGGTTGAAAATCCCAAGAGTAAGTTGTTTCGATGGAAATATCTAAAAAACAGAAAGAGATAATTATATGGCCGTAATGTGTCTGGTGCTCTGGCAATCTAGCGTATGCGCAGCGGCTATTATAGTTGCGCCAGAGACTTGGAACCTAGTGGTAGAGTGTGCAGTGATCTTTTAATATCACCTGAGTAAATATTCTTTCATTCATACTTTTTAATCTCAGGTGAGCATTTTTAGTGTTACAGGTATGGGGTTTTTACTATTGTGTTTTTAATTTATTCAGAAATATAAATAAATGCAATTATAACGGTTTATTCAGAATCATTATTTGACATATGTTAAAAAAGGTTGAAATGGGGTAAAAAGTTCCGTTCAACTGAGGTCAGTTGTGCCGCAGCACAATTAACCTCCAAGATGTTTTTAATAACCTATGTGTATTGTTTTATCAGCAACTGGAGTCACGTCTGTATAGTCCATAGCTCTTTTCTTGCTCACTCGCTTTCATATATGCATCACCTTTTTCTCCAGAGTTATTTAGACCATCACTAATAAAAAAATCCACGATTAATTAGAGTTAACACAACGTTAAAGAAAGTTAGCTTTTCTAACTCTCTCTCTCTCTCTATCTCTCTTACTTACTATTACTAAAGCTTTAGCAGTAGAAAAGGCTAATATCAGCTAAAAATTGATAGTAAGAGTGAAGTAGGAAATGCCCAAGGAAAAAGTGCTAAAGGAACTAAGCAAAAAGGAAGAGAAGCCCTGAACCCTGCTAGAAGGAAAGGAATTTTATCCTGCATCGAACGCAATAAAAGACGGAGGGTAGACCGATATGTCTGCCAATAATAGCCTACCCGCAATTATTTCAGTTACTCCGTGATCGTGTGCGCTTGCAACAGTGACAAAATATCGAAAACTCGCTAAAAACAACGTACATGGTAACAATCCCGTAAATAACTTATATAACTATAATGTTAGTGACCATGAAAGTTTAAAACAATATATTCTTCTACAAGAATATGAATGCACCAATGAGGAAAAAAGATCAGATTGGTTCTGCATCATATACTACGCAATGACTCTAACTCTGCGCCTGGAGAAAAATGGAATGAATGCAGCTTAAGTACGAAATGGGCACATTTGCGATATGTGGATGATGAGGAAAGGTTAACACATTCTGTATGGTCTTATTGCTCAGTCGATTGAAGACTAGTAGTTTTGTTTTAATTTTTTTAAGTTCATTGTTAAGACAAAGGAGATTGGTCAAATTGGCCTAAATGCAAATAAAATATTGACATATACAGTAATTCTTGGCGTAATTTATACTTTATTTTACAGTCATTAGATTTTAACGGCCACCTTTAAATAATATATTAATTTTAAAAAAGGACTTCTATTTTTACCGGTTTGGAAAACATACGAATCATTTTTATTGGCTATGGGTGTAGTAACATTCACAAAGACTGATCGAGGTTGTTTATATAACATCAAAACAAATCTATTTTGTAAAGATTGATAAAATATTTCGATGATATTTTAATTCAAAATGTAGATGATATGTAATATTAAACGCAACATAAAAGTACTTAAGTTGTTTTATTTCATTAATTTACCTTATCAGAATATTTAAGCTATGTCAGGAATATACATATTTCACACATTGATCAGAACTATCATGAACCTACGCAATATATTATTACATTAGAATTACCTTTTACCATTATAAACCTAATTATTACTAAGAAAATATCCTATTGGTTTTTATAAAATTATGATAACAGTTCCATGTTTCTCATAACATAGGTACGCAGGTACCAGTTCCTTGACATGCATTTTGTTAGTGTAATTAGTGTTAGACACTTGTCAAATGAAACAAGATTGCTTCTGAAAATCGCAATGGCATAATCATGATTTTAAAACTTACTCTTGTGCATTAATTTTAAAAACAGGCAATTATCTGTTATTTTACATGCTCTATATACCTGAATCTAATACATAATATCGGTACTTGGCTTGATTGCCCTATTTTCCTATATAAGTTATTTGGTTTTTATTATTCTAATACCTATGTGCCTATTTGCAAACATAACCACAAAATCATTCAGTGTATATGGTTTATAGAAGTTCTCAGGAGTGGCCGTCGATAATATTCGTTTCTACGGTAATTTATATATAATTTCGAATCTAGGAAACAATTTTTCATGGTTATTGGTTTTTAGGCCAAACATGTATGGAAGCTGAGCAATCTCCTTTGAGAGGCTAATTAATATAATAAAAATATATCTACCTGAACTCAGTCACCATAGGGAGATATTTTGATAAAACTTAATATCATTTTATGACTTCTTCCTTAATGGATCGTCGCGTTGAGAGAGATCAAGTCTTTATTCATAAAATTAAGAACACTCTTATTGACTCTTCTTTTGAATAGCATTGGTTTAAGATGCCCTCGGATAGGCTCTCGTCTAAAAAGTTTATTTAGTTTGCCTTTAATTAGCACCAAATATACTGCAAATACTTTTACTGGCTATAAGAATAGGTTCACATCAATTTATATATTTAACTGTTCTACCAATGATTGGAAAAAATATATACATGATATAATAGATAGTTTATAATTATAATTGTAACCTACTAAACTTGCAATTTGATTTTTATTGGTAAAAATGTACACATTTATTTCTCGATTTTAAACATGTGTGCTCCTTTGTATGTTTTATGTTATAGTGGACACTTTCTTGATGTATGTTTTGTTAATTAGATCTAGTTATAAATGCTATTTCATTGTTTGTTTCCCAAATAAAGATAAAATATAAATAAAACTAAAATCATATCAGTCTGTAAAGGGTACTAAAGCTCTTAAAAATAGAGCTTTGACCTCTTTTACATGTAACTTATTTAAAAAAAAAGAATTATTGAAGAACTTTCAGTGTCAATTTTAAGAAGAGTACAACTTGTTTCTTTTTTACTTAAAGTTTTATATAAAACTATCCAAAAATGCGGATGTTATATAAATTTGACCTTAAAAAAATGTATAGCTATATTATGTGGTGGTTTCTTATTCCAAAATTCTTTTTAATTCATATAAAAGACCAAAAATTATAAACGCCACAACTAACCCCAGCTGCAGTACAACTTGCCCTAGCAAGAGCTCCATTGTGCCTTACAAACTCTATTTATAAAAATGGTTATCTATAAACAAAATGTATTAATTAAAATCTAGATTAAATTTTACCTAAGATAGCCTAGAACTATTAATTGCAGCATTCGTCTTATCCAATTTTTCTAGCAAATTGCCAACAACAGCTCTTTCGGCCCTGCTCTCCCCTTCTTTAATTATGATTGTACACATTATTTATGTTTTCAAATCAAAACCACTTACCTTTTTTTATTTAAATAGTAATCAGATTGATGAAAACGCGGAATGGGTAAAAATAAAGTTACCTAATCTTTGAAAGTTCCACGCGGGCGCGGTCGCGGTCTCCTACAAATCCAAAATTTGAACACTGTATTAAAGAATGTTTATTTAGATTATAAATACTAATAGATACCAAAAGTATAATAGTCTTACAAATATTTTATCATATAAAATTAACAATTAACATTATGTATTCTGTTACAGATGGCAATCAAAGGTTTAATATTATTGTCCGTATTATGGAGCGCAAATGCGTACTTTGCCAACAACAAAGTCATAGGTACTTTGTACAGATGGAAACAAATTGATTTTGAATATCCTTCACCACAAGACCGGCAAACTGCTTTAGATAATGGGTAAGCAAGGTAGTAACTTTTACTCCATAACTCGCTGGCTTAGGTTTTCACTTTGCCCAAAAGAAGGAAAAGTTTTCCCAAAGGACCATTTATTTTACTCTATTTTCTGCACCCACTTTGCTCTCTGTGTATAAAAAACATGCAAGTAATAACTACCTATCTATATTACTAAATACCTATCCAAGTTGTATTAAAGTCGGCATTAAGATAAATGGTACTTACATTCGAAAAAAGAAACTAAAATTATTATAAATTCTAGTTTGCACATACGATGGGAGGTCCAAAAGTTTGCGGGATGGAGGGAATGGAGAGTGTTGGCGGGAAGTTTTTTTTTCTGTAATACTTGTTGTCTCAATACACCTATGAAACCCAGTTTCAGTTCAATTGGGTCATTAACTTTTGAGATATCACTGAACAAACAAGCCGATCGGGAGGAGAGCATCAACTATGGAGAAAATCAAGTTACGTGCTATGATTAAGTTCCTCACCAAGTCTGAAAAAACACTGAAGATTATGGAAGAGACGTCATCTTTTTACGGGGACTCTTGGCATGGTAAGATGATTTATAAGTGGCATAGATTATTTAAGCAGAGCAGAGGATCGATTAAAGATGACCAGCGCTTAGCACGGCCAAACGAAGCGACTTTCTCAGAAATTGGAAAATTTTCGAAAATCTTGTTCTTGGAGATACGCTTTTTAAGAAATGTTATTATTTACAATGATTTTGAACACGTTTCATAACCATCTTAGCAAATTAAAGGTCAATGCAAGAGCCGAGAATTCACGCACCGCTTCAAAAATGTTTGCGTGAGCGCGTCGAGTGTTTCTACGAGTTTCTGTACCTATGTGCAAAAACAAAGATGAATTTATGAACCGGTTTGTTACTGAATATAAAACTTGGGTTCATCACTATAAAAAGTCCAAAAAAGACTCCATGCAGTGGCGTGAAAAAGGTGCAGAACCGCCTAGAAGTTTAAGGTGACACAATCGGCTAGGTTGCAGCGATTTTTTGGGTTTCAGAGCTAATTTTATTGGTTGATTATAAAGAAAAAGCTGCAAAAACTAAAAGAAGTGATCCTATAAAGAAGACGGGGAAAATGAACTTGTGGAGTGCTCCTCTTACGCGACAATGCACTCGTCGACAAGAATCATGTTGCCATGGCTTCCCTAAACAAGTGTGGTTCGTAAACTTTTAACAACCCTCTTTATAGTCTAGGTTTAACTCCTTCTGATTATTTTTTGTTTTTGTACAAAACTGAAGATAGAGGTAAAATTTCGAGGAAAAATTTTACCGAGTATACGAAGAAGAAGTCTGCAATTTCTGTCTTTTTTCAGGGACTTTAGAAAACGTTTTATTTAGAAGATATAAATAAGTTATTGAAGAGATTTGAAAATTGTATCAGGCTTAAGGGAGAATACCATGTACGACGTCAGTTCTCTTACCGTCCATTTCGCGAACATTTGGTCCTCCCCGCGTGCAAAAAAATTATTTTATTTATTTATACTTTATTGCAAAAAAACAGCTGGCTCAAAATCACCAAGGTGGTAAATCCACTTCGGCAGCAAATAAATGCCTAAATTCTGTATTTTTTTCAATATTTTAGCATTGGTAAACACTTAACTGTGTTTACTTTAACCACACATCACACAAAATAATTAAAAAGTCTTATATAGTACATTTTATATGGACAAATAAGTACAAAAAATCATTTTGAGAACGCGTCGTAAGTAGCAATTCTTAAAAGCTAACACCAGAAATAGTCATAAAATAAAACATTTTTAACGGTTATTGATACCCATTCACCTTCAATTGTATCTAATATTACATTATTGAAAGCATTATTAAAGAAGAAAAACGAATTTAAAAAATCTAAGTCTAAATATAATGTCCGACAATATAAGCATCATGTTAGTGAACGCAGCTTTGATTACGCGAAACAAAAAATTTCGAACGCATCCCTCTTTAGTCTATGGAACAGCTGTAGAGAGAGTTGTAAACAAAGTGGCTGTGAAGAAAGTAGTTCGCCAAATGAAATTAAAATAAGTGGTAAGTGGCTTTCAATTCATTATTTACAGAGCGTACATCAATAGGTCGTCAATTGGGGAACGCGTTTTCCAATCAAAATTATGCAATAATAGCTTTTATAGTGTTGTATAACAAATGTTATAAACAAATATTTTACATTAAGGAAGCAAGAATTGCTGTCAAATATGGCTGCCGTTTAAAAAAGACGCGGTTATTTGAAAATATCATTTGGTGAACGGTCATTTGGGGAACGTTCTCCGATTTGATGGACCGTTCTCTAAATGATGTTGTTGTTCCCCAAATGACTATTTAGTTACTAATTGGTACTTTCTATTACTAACTGTCAATTTTGTGTATGTCGTGCTTACAAAGTTATCAATAGGTATACTAACTTTATTTTTACAGCAATATGGAGTCTCACAAAGCTGAAAAAAACCGTTCGAATAAGCAAATAAAGAAAAATAGTACAGCTTACTTAAAGAAGTGAAGTCTCAGAACCCTACAACTCCCAATAGCAAAGTTAACGCATTGTTAGAAAACGTTGACGTACCTCCTGAAGTGCGCAAGAATCTTTTATTTAACGAAGTGAAATCTTTTATTTGAGAAAAAAATCCAAAGAGAGGGTAGTTTTTCAAAAATGTGTTAGCGGGATTATGGTAAGGCAATACAGATTGCTTCATAAGGTTAATTGTTTTTTGCCAAAAGAGAAAACCAGTACTATTCTCAAATCTGACGCCAAAATTCATGAGGTTGTTTTGAATAAAGAAGTTCGCGAAAAAGTCAAAGAGTTCTTCCAAAGAGATGATGTCAGTAGGGTGTGTCCAGCCAAGAGAGATTTCGTAAAGAAAAACGGGATTAAGAAGCAGAAACGCCTCCTTTCATGTTCAGTTAAAGCACTGACGTCAAGAGTTTTACTTGGCTGTGTCATCAATTATGAAACTAAAAAAGTGATTTAATTGAGTTAGATTAAGTTCTTGTTAAGAATAAATCTTATATAAAAATAAATAAATAACAATTACTTCCTATAACTTGGCTTATTATTCAATTTAACTGTGAATTAAACCCTAATTGTCTGCAAATCGTCATTTGATGAATGCCCTCATCATTTCGGAGAACACCTCTAAAATCAAAGAAATGCCATTATAACATAAGTTATTTAGGAATAAAGTCTGATAATATTGGAAACAGGCTGAATCCCTATAGCTACCGCAGATTTATTTATATGCAAGTGAGCGATATTCACTTATTTTGTAAATTTAAGAACATGAAATAGTCATATAGCTTAATTTACAGCGACATTGTCCTTAAAAACGTTTTAATTCCAAATTTTGACAAAGTTTTTTAAGTTCGTACTATTGGCGACGTATCTCCGTTATCGTTAAGGGTAAAAATGAAATGCATATATATTTTTTTATTTAATTATAAACTTCCGAATACCGTTCCCCGAATGATTAATTTTAGTGATAGCACATTTAAAAATTGAAATTTCAAGAAAAGTATTTAATTATATGCTCTGCCAAGGTCAATACAGTTTAACATAAGTTTAGTTATGATTTAGAGTAATTATCAATATATTTAGCTTCTACTCTATAGCATCATAAAACAGAATTCAGTATTTTCCACCTTGGTGATTTTGAGCCAGCTATTGGTGCACATAATGCCACAAGGCATTCTTATCTAGTCGATCAATAAGAGCGTGAGAAAGAAAAAAATACGGGGGTGCAATGTAAAATAAACCAGGTTATATATCAATACACACATGTACATATCTACAATACATTGTATTAGCATAACTGATTCGAGAATAAATATTTCTTAAAACAAAATGTTTTTCACCATCTGAAAGCTGTGGGGCAAGCCGTTGCCGTTGCAATAAACGATAAGTGGTCAACGTGTAATTCTTAGATTAAATTAATAAGGTGTAAGTATAAGTACAATAACAATGTAGGTACATAGTATACCTTACATCTCATTAGAAAAAAATCTTATATATTGTGTACTATGTAATATATAATGGACCTTAGAGAATCTTCTATGGGGTTGAAATTTTCAAAATACTACCTTTGACAGATAAATTGTTTCTGATGAGTAATTCCGCTATTTAATTGTATAGAAATAATTGAATGGTGTCAAATAGGCTCTTATAACATCCTCCTATCCTTCAACTTCATCTGCAATGCTCGTAAGTTTGCACCTGCGTGAACAACACACTATGGAATTAGGGGATTAGACTGTATAAAAAATCAAAATTCAACGCCAAGTCTAGAGCAAAAACTAATATAAAATATGAATAAAACTAGAACAATTTTACTCTTGTTACTTACTTTGTGTCTAAGTTCCTACTTTCCCCCTCTGTAGACTATTTAAATAATTTCGTCAACTTGGAATAACTGTTCGCTGTCAGGTCAGGTTTGCTGCCTCACGCAAAATAGCTATGTGCCTATTTTCGAGATGCAATAAACAGCCCGTGCACCTTTAGTACCTAAAGCCCTACCGTACCCCTTTGCTTATTTCTAATGAGAAGTTAAATAATATACATTACTTAGAGATTTTGTCGCAATATCTGCAACTAGCTCGTTAGTTTCATTAATTACATTGACAGAAATTACTTTTTACATATAGTAGCAACGTTAATTGTGTAATGGGATTTAGTTGATCACGTTTTTGTCAAACTTAATCACTACGCTTAATCAATTCTAATGAGCGAAAGTTGTCTTTGCTACTTACTTAATTTCAGAGCAACTATTAAGGCTCTGTGCCCACGTAAGCAACGTGATACAAAATCTGACAAGTGATCTGGCATGCAACTTGCCACTAGCATGAACATTCAAAGTAAATGTATGGGCTAGTGTCCATTTGCGTGACGTAACGTGATATGAACTGACGTGCCATTCAGCGTCTAAGGCTCGTGTAATACGAGCCTTAGACGATCATGAGAGTCTCACGAGAATGCCCACTAAGTGTTGATGTTTACTTGAATACAGTTAGAAAGGGATGTCGCCTTGTATAGCACAAGATCAACACTAACATCCATATTCTTAGTCACATCCTCAAACGTTCCTCGACTCAACTCATTCGAGAGCTCGTTAAGGAGTTTCTCCAAATAACCTCGAAAATGATATTCTAGTAGGTATCTTGAACAAACTTGAGAATTCCTCCACTGAGAGTACAAACAAAGGTATAAAGCATAAAAGCATAGACATATCATATATGTAAAATAAAATATCACACAACAAACATAGGTAAATACCTACTTGAAATAATCCTGTCACGTAAAACTTCAAAGCCACCAGTAATTGTATTAAAGGCAGTACAGGTAGTCATCTGTTATTACAATTTAATGTAATGCTTAGCAGAGGAAATATTACTTGTATGAATGTATCTTTCTAAACCGAAATCTTCTTTTTAACGAATCATTGTTGTAAACCTCAAAAGGATTTGCGGCGTCACGGAAATACCGTCGAGCCGGATTATATGGTTCATCATCGTATACGTAATCCAAAAAATCCACCAATTCGTCAATAATCTCAAAATCTCAAAAAACAACATGAAAACACCTTAAACACCACTCGAGGAAGCCTTAAGGTACGTCGAGAGCTACCTTGAGTTTGACAGTTTATTCCTCGACTCGACCTCCACTCGAGTGAGGAATATCTCAAGTGAAGGATATTTTTATTGTCTAAGCATACGAATTTCCTCGAATGAGGTTGAGTCGAGTGGAAAAAATCTCGAGGAAACGACTAAGAATATGGGTGTTAGTTGTCATCCTGTAATACGAGCCTTAGAGCATATACCAATGGCGATGCCATAAAGTTCACTTTTTTCAAAATTTTCGGCATACACACGCATAGCACACTAACGAAAATAAGCATAACGCGCACAAACACGAGCTAGTTTCTGCTATAAACGCACACTTCAAAAATCACAAGGCACAAACAAAAAAACGGACCCATGCTAACAAGTTTTTAGGTAATTATGCAATCGTTCGAGCGTACACAAACACAAAAGTTAGGGATGGGACATAAAAAGAATGAACGATTTTTGAATGAAATGTTTGTTTATATTGAAATCAAAAAGTTCCTAAAATTATCTATGAGAAAGTTTATTTATATCTTTAGTACATATGCTCTTTACACATAAGTAAAAATAAAATTTAGAGTATATTTTAGTTTTATTTGCAAAATTTATCGCTGTGTATAAAAACTTGTTACCTGCGTTTGTTTTCTTTTACCGATATTTAAACTCTACCTATATTTAAACACTTTTCCTCCTTTATCTTCCTAATAATTACTTTTGCTGTGAGACTGCATTACATCATCTCGTTTGTATGTATCTCATAAAAAGCTAAAGCGAATTTTACAAGAACAACATCTATTAATGTATTTAATTCCACATAAATACATAATATCAAGATGGCGGATTCCGTATTTTCTAATAGATGTATTGATGGCGGAATTGTCTTTTTAAGTGAAATAAATATAGGAGTCATATTTATAGTATCTCTTAAATAGTTCTACAAAACATCCGTGATACTATATATCTATTTTTAATGTACAAGTCGTTATCGCTAAAATAGTGAATCTTAAATAAAATATTATTTGATGTCCATTTCCGAAATGCACATTTTTTATTAACAAATTATTTTTTTAACAATAAAAATACTTTTAAAGCTTTTAATATTTAAAGACGATAAAGTTTGCCTTTTATACTATGTCATTTCGACAAATATATAGAAAGTTACAATGATGAAAAGTGATAGCGCGTGTACTATGCAGGAGTAGAATGCGGGAATAGTGGGAGAAGAAATTTAATTTTTGTGTTATTAAACATAGATAAAACCTAGGCGAAAAAGAAAAAAATGGGCTACTCGCAGTATCTAATCCTATACGAGTTACTTACAATAAAACTGTGATACACTTCCTTCTTGAAAACTAAATGAATAAACAATGATGAAAAATAAATTATAACAATAGGTATTTATGATTATTGTAATTTAATGAAAATTTGAATTATACTGTAATTAAAGTTTATTTTTACGATATCATTTCATGTTTCAAAAAAGGGTTACTTAAAATTATGATAAATAACCTGTTTTTCGCTAGAAGTTACATGTTTAATGGACTCCCTGTATTTATTAATAATTAGTTCGCGATAATGTTGGTTTTGTAATTACAAACGATAATTCTGCAAAATTCACAGTAAATAATATAAAGTTTTATAGGTAAATCACCCCTTCCATCGCTATAAGTATTGCGATATTGAAGCTTAGAACCAAGGCACATCTATTTCTTTAGGGAATTCATCATAATCGATTCAGCTATTAGGGCGCGGAAGCGTAAAAAACAAACTCACTGTCGCATCTATAATATTATATTATACTAACTAGTGTTCCACCCCGGCATTGTACGGGCGAAACTTATTTTAACGGAATAAAATATAGCCTATGTCACGCGGATAAAATGTAGTTATAAAAAAAACTAGAAAATTTTCCTCTCGGAAAAGTTGTCAGGGTGGATTTATTTCAACTAAAAGTTTTCCTTAAATTTATATATCGAGCAGATTAATCAACGATATTGAGATAAATGCTTGAAAATCACACTAATATCATAAAGGTGAAAGTTTGTGAGTGTGTATGTTTGTTACTTCTTCACGTCTAAACGGCTGGAGCGATTTTAATAAAACTGATACCCTGGATTAACACATAGGCTACGTTTTACTGCGGGAAAACATCTCTACTATACCGCAGGTAACACCGTGGGGCACAGCTAGTATAATAATAAATAATAGAGCTACCCCTTATGATGAATGAATTTTCGAAATCGGTTCAATAGTTGACAGATAATTTGTTACAAACACACACGAAAAAATATTTGGAAAATAATTGCTTTAATTGCACCATTAAACTACAAATCAAAAGGGTAGACCAGAAAGTCTGCAACCTGTAATAACTGGTGGACGCTTTAAAAGAGAACCCATCATTGAAATTTTTTATCCATTCTTGAATATCTAATGGGTCCCGACTGTTAAAGTAGCTTTGTTCCTTACTTAAAGGAATTATAGACTACTGGACTTGTTCTAAATAACTGACTTGCGATATTTTGTTCGGCGAGTGAACGGTATGGCATCTCCATTGGTATATGCTCTAAGGCCACCAGTATTTAACTTTTAGAACGAACAGAAAAGAGACTGTCCGTTTTGAATTTTTAAAATAAGCTAGAGCATCTTGATCTTTATCAGACGACGACATTGTCTCGATTGACAAAGTCTCTGGCATGTCACCCTGGTGGGTTCTTAGAATGTCATTCTAGAGTCATGTTATATGCCGGTGGACAATCACGTTTCTGTCACGTTGCTTAGGTGGGTATAGCGCCTAAAACACATCATTCGCATACACTCACATAAAACATTAATATATCAGAGTTTCTGAAAGTAGTTACCAAAGAACAAATTCATACCTGACCCACTTGCCCGATTATTCGCTTAAAACTGTCCTTTAAAAATCTTTAAAGAGAATGCGTAATTGCACTTGGAACCTTCTAGTAACAAGAAAACATTGTTAATATACAAGCTTTGACATTTGACCTTTATTTTCAAGGCAATAGATTATCTTATAGATAAAATTGGAATAGATGTTTGAATTTCGAAAGCACTTTTAAAATCGTAAATGTAACAGTAACTCTTTTAATTTCTTGAAATTATGAAAAATCTTAGTAAACTAATAAGGAAACCCTTCGTCTATGGGTAAAATTTCAAATATCAAGATGTCAAAATCATGTACACAGTGCACTGTTCACAGGAAAGCTGCAAAATCTGTCACGTAAATTATGATTGTTCAGTACCCTTAGCACGAACCAAAATCGAATTCGTAACGTTTACGAGTCCGAAATGGTCATTGTCAAATCTGTACTGATTTTTAGTTCTCGTTACGTACTTTGTGCCGCTGCTGTTCAAGTTTTCACACAAAATTTGAAATTGACATTTCGGTTTGCAAGCTATTCGAATTCGATAATGGTTCGTGCTAGGGGTACAGAAAATAACAAGTTTATTTCTAGCCTGAGCACCACGATATGATATATGTAGCTCATTTTTACCACGCTCAATTGTCAAATCACTATGGAATTTGACAGTAAGACGCGATAAAAAACGTGATAGAATGTACATTGTGGTGCTCATGCAACGAGGACTGGAGCTCATCTACGGGGACTGTGATATGTACTTATAAGCAAAAATCTACCTCATTGTTTTGAAATAGTTGTAAGAGAATAAACTTTTGGTGGGTCAGGAAAAAAAATTAACTAATAGTACATTAAATAAAAGAAAATATAAATATTGAATTATGTATCCCGCACACTGCCTTAGTTTTTAAACACTAAGGTTTTTTTTATAATTAAATTAGAATTTGTCCGCGATTTCATCTTTGTAGTTTTCTAAATTGCTTTTATAACTAGAACCTCTTCTTAACAAGAGCAATACGATGATTAATCATTTAATTCAAACATTTTTTGATGCTTGATTTTGATATGTCTTTGATTTATAGTAGGCACCTACTACACATTATTTATGCAGTCGTGCTGATTAAGGAAGGAAATGATTTTTTAAAACTTTCAGTTTCATAATATTAATATTTTCAATATTATTCAATTTCAGAGAATTCATTCAACTCAATGTCATACCGTTAGGTGTAGAGCGCTGGAAAGACCGTGTTTTTGTAAGCACCCCGAGATGGAAAAAAGGAGTACCAGCCACCCTGTCGTCTGTACCGGTAGATGTTCAAGACGAATCAGCTCCACTCAGGCCATTTCCAAATTGGGAGTGGCACAAAGCAGGTAGGAAAATTAAAGTGCAAATCAGCGCTTGTATCTTCTGTATGTGCGGCTAACGCTTTATGTTTCTTCTCACTTTTTCTCGAGTGACAAAATGCATAGAATATAATACACATAAATGGTTCCCGATGGTACGATTTGAGATTAATCGGGTAGCATAAAAATTAAATTAAAAAGTTTAGACCTACCAAATATTCACATAAAACCCATAAAAATTGGTAAAGTCGTTTCGGAGGAGATCGAAGACGAAAGCTGTGACACGACATTTAAATATATTAGATTTATTATCTCTCTTTAACCATCGGCGTCGATACTTTCATTAAGGCAAACGGCATTTTATGCTCTCACTCCAAAATAAGGCAAATTACTTTTTTACTAAGATAACAGACAACTTACTAAGATGAAGAATTTAGATAAAAATATTCATTGGTCTCAAAGCTTCTCTATTATATCCTATCTAAAAATCAGATTAATGTTAACATTTGGTTTGGAATTTTTAGTACCTAACTGTAGGATTTTTTTTTTTCAGATAATTGTACGGGATTCACTTCAGTGTTCCGCATGAATGTCGATCACTGCGGTGTCATGTGGGTCCTCGACTCCGGTCAAGTGGAAGCCTTCGAAACACCACAACAGCTTTGCCCTCCTACGCTCTTAGCTATAGATCTAGAAACAGATACTGTTCTCGGTCGCTATCCCATACCACAAGAATATGTCTTACAAAATTCACTGATAACCAACATTATAGTCGATTCCAGGGATGCCCTTTGTAAAGATGTCCACGTTTATATTGCTGATGCTTGGCGTTTCGGCTTAATCGTGTACAGGGCGTCTGATTCAGCATTTTGGAGATTCAATCACTACTCTTTTTATCCCGAGCCCTTACTGTCGAACTATACTTTACATGGTTTAAATTATCAATGGTCTGACGGACTATTTGGCATGTCGTTAGGTAAATTCCAAAACGGAGACCGTCCTTTATACTATCATTCTATGTCGAGTTCCTTAGAGTTTTATGTAAGCACCTCCGTAATTAGAGATCCAACTCGCGTTTCTAATTCTGTGAGCGAATTTAAACTCCTTGGGGAATCTCGTGGTGACGAAGGGCAAGTATCCGCCGCAGCCGTCGACCGCAACGGTGTAATGTTCTTTAACCTTATTTCACAAGACAGTATCGGGTGTTGGAATACACTTAGGCCTTACCGAAAAGAGAACTTATACATTGTTGCAAAGAACAATTCAACTTTAGTGTTCCCCAATGATTTACGTCTAGACCATGAGGTTCCTCAAACCGGTTGGATAATCACAAATAGATTGCCATTTTATCAATTTAACTTGATTGATCCAAATAGATATAATTACAGAGTGTTGTTTTTAGATCCGGTGGAAGCCTCAAAATATAATATTTGTGAAACATCAAACTAAAATTTACCTTTCAATTTAAATGTGAAACCATATTAATTCACAGCAAATAATCACAGTTATCACAACTTTACATTTTATTGCGCTATTTCTTTGTAATAGTACTTTGTTATGATAATAAAAACAGTTTTACTACAGTATTTCATTGTTTTTGTTTTTATTACACTTTCTAATACTTTCCTTAAATGTTGTGTGAAAATCGCTTTACCTGCACGGGACTTTCTTCATCATTTATCTTTATACAAGTGATCGATGATATCCTTATTTCAGATTCATTTAAAGTTTGGTTTGAAAATGTAGTCGTGACTTTAACTTCACTTTCCTTTTTATTATTGATCAATCCTAAAGTTACTCTCGAATTTGTTGCATTTTTTACTTCATAATCGCAACGAGGATTTTCATTTCGAGAAAAAGTTACACTTTTCTCACTTGGTTTATCATGCACGTCTTTGTTAAGTTGCGGTTCATTTGTATTCGATTTTTCAGAAGATTTTGTATCTACGTGTATTGATCCATCTGATGCCATAGAGTTGGACCATTTACGATATATTGAATCATTATCACCATCGTGAACTTTATTGCGTGGTGAAGAGCGACCAATGCTGTTATCACGACCAAGATTCATAGGAATGTCATTTTTCTTTTGGAATATTTGTGGATAGTCTCTTAAGTACGATGCAGTTCTAGCGCTACTACTTCCAACCAAAGGTGGCGTATCGGCATTATCCGGTGGCATTGCTGTACAGTCCAGATGACTTTGCTTTAGTTCTGTGAAAATGGAATGGGAATTAAATGTTTCTGGATCATTTGTATCGGTTCCTTTATTCGTTAAAAATGCGCTTATTCGTAACATCATGACACCAAATTGTTCAAGAATGCGGTCAGTATCACGAGGTGCCATTACTTCTCTTCCTAACCAGTCTTCACAACAAACTGGAGTTATCAAATTTTCGTCTAATTTAATAGATTCGATATTATTGATGTCTTCTTTTAGGTCTTCTGCACTCGTATCTGTACCGTGACTCATTCGGGATGAGTAATCAGATTTTAAGTGAATAGTGTCTGTGTTCGTTACAGCTGGAGAATGATTGTAACTGGAAATATATTTGATGAAATATTTATAATGTTATTCATACTTTATTATAAGCATTATTCATACTTACAAATCAGAAATTAAGTTTTTGCGCAACTGGTCTTCTCCTAGTAAGGATTTAGCACGCCTCCTTCTTAATGCTAGTTCCAATCCATAATCATGCTCACTAGTAGGTAATACTGCAGGAAAGTTTTTGAACACCGAAGTAACTTTTAATGCATGATAATAGCTAATAGACAAAAACGACTTATTTACTATCGTTAAAACTAAATAAATTTTGTTAATCATGATTTTATTGTATGTGTACCTGTATATCAGCATCCATGTGTAGAAGGAAGGCATTATAGAAATTACTTTGATTACTACAAATTTAATACAGGGTGGTCTGGCTGCCCCTAATAAGACACATGTTCCTAAACCCAAAGCCAAGCTCGTCAATTCGCACAACAGCTTCCTTATAGCTGCCAGAAGAAGCCAAGGCAGTACTAATGTCGGCCGTTCTTCCTGCAATAAAATAAGAAAATCGGAAATCAAATTGAAAATTATTATGTTATAGCTAATATTGTTCGTAATATTTCCTTTAATGAGTTATTGCTGATAAATGTAACAAATGAAATAAGTAATCACCAAAAATACAGGATACAACAGCACTATATAGGATGCTAGATAAACGTAGACAGTGAAACACTGTACTAGCATAACACCCGAGATCATAGTCCTCAGTGCGCGCTGCACAGGTAGTGACAGCTCTTCGGGCATACTCATCTGCCACACCTTCAATAAAAATAAATCATTTTTAAAAGTCATAAAAGTTTTTGCATATAGGCTTCTAAAAAGCACTTTTACACGACCCAATATTACTTTGTCCCTACCACTGCTTCGAAACAATAAATGGGCCATTGTTGAGAAGAACATACACCATGTAATTTCAGTCACTACATTTAGCTGAACTTACTACCATATTTCTTCGCTGAAACATAATTTTAGGGAACTAATGAATTTGCTTACAAGATACGACCGTAGAGAGCCTTAAATTCATTTTATGTTATCTTTTGTTCGTATTCTAGGTAACTGTTTTGTGGAAAGTTCGTTTAATAATGTCGTTAACAGAAACCTTTTCAACAATAAAATTGTAAAGTGTCTACTGCCCAACAGTAGACACTCCCCATAAAGTACAGTTTTTCCGTACTATACTATAATTATGAATATTCTTCATAATTAGCTACTTATTGATTGAAGCTGATAAAAATAATAGATAAAGTTAATGAAAATCAATTCACCAATTTCGAAAAGATTTCATGGATAAGAAAATAGAAATTTATAGTCTTAAATTTCTCACTGCACTTTTGGCTTCAGTTAATAATAATAATAAAGTATTGTTAAAGTTACTTAATAATTAAGAATGACCTGCTTCAAATTAGCATTCACTTTGAAGAGAGTCGCATCAAATATAGTTCTCAGGAGCCCGAGGAGCGTCCAAAGACAAACTTCGGATTGCAACCCCATCCCAATATAAGATAGAATATTTATCATGTTCTTGTTTGGAGAGCGGGATATTATCTTTCGAAGGTAGGTAATATTTGTTCTATCCTGGCTAGCTATATTTTAGTTTCATTTTACAGTTAATTGGAATGTATTGTTTGTTTGTAATGTTTAGGTGGATTGCCTATTTTGGAAACTGAAGTCTGGAGTAAGCTGTCAAAGTCAAACCTGTTTAACTTTTTTAATCTACTTATGAGAACAGCGATAGCAATGAATAAATTGCTATCGCTGTTCAGCCAATTTGATCCCTCATCCATTGCTTATCCACCATAAGCTTAATTTTCTTACAAACATTCCATAACAATAACCTTATTGATTACATTTATGCGAAGACCATCTTCAACATCTTTGCATTTATGTACAGTCAAGTTCTTTAGTTTTGGATCCACCTAAGGTATATCGGACAGCAAAAGAATATTATAAAAGCAAATACTTTGACCGAACACTTCGCTAAGACAACGTAATATGCTCTCTTTTTTATATTTTTCAGTAGAGAGAACTACTCACTTTACTCGTGAACCTTAAGGACTGTACTGTACTGTTTAAATAGCCCACGGTTCTTTCTGACTTAGTACCAAAGGTTCTTTAGTACCAAAGCATCGTGCGTCGTGGGATGCTTCTCCCACACCTGCGTTTGAATTAGTTCTATCGTAACGAATTATTGAGCTGCGTGGTGGATTAGCAATAGACGCTAAACGATAGCTTGATTGCAGATCAAAGAGGTTGTGGAAGTATATAGAACTATTTCCAACGATCCATTCTTTTCTCCATACAACTCTGCCCAATTTTGTACCTCAAGTATTATCATGCATTTTTGTGTAGAAAAATACGCTGAATTCGTCAAAAATATACATGGAGATTTCCTGTCCTCTTGTACCACATAAAAAAGTCGTTCAAACGTTTAAATGAATGGCAACATTATGGTAAATGTACATCTTTAGGTTATACCAATAAGCTACGGAGATCAGGTGATTTTTGATACAACCAATCACAATCAAGAAAATAATTTAAAACGTCGCGCAGGTGTGGGAGAAGAATTAGGAGCACTTGCACCAAAGTTCTTAATTCACATTAAAAAGCTAATCATGCTTAAGCCTCATTCTATCTCTATTTGACTTTAAACAATAAAGATGGAATGAAGTCTACAAAATTTTGCCTTAATTTTATTTAAAAATTATTTTGTAATTCAAATCTTATTTCCATAGATAAATGATTAGTCTCCCTGATTTATCTAAGCTTATTTACAATTGTATCTTAAGGAGAAACGTATGACAATTTCAAATTCCAAGCATCTTTGATCCATATCAATAGAGTTTCATTATTTTCAAAAATATTTTGATATTTTATATATAAGAACACCCAACTACAGAATTTGGAATATAGCAAAACAGCAAACTATTCTCGACTATTTATAACTCTGATTTGATTTTCTCAGAAAGTATAAAACTTACAACTACCAAAGTTACACCTACAGAAAGTTCTGTCGCGACGGCAACACCAGTCGCGATGTTTGAGGTGGCAACACATATCAATTGCCGCTATAACTAATGTCAATGTCAAGTAAGCCGCTCTTTTTTCTCTTCTTGTTGGTTGTGCTATTTTAACTAATATACTGTGATTACCTTGTACTATTATTTAATAACTGTTATGTGCCATAAAAATGTGCCTACCTGATGCGTGCCTGTCTACGAGCTCGAGAACCAACGGAATATAACGAAAGCTAAGTAGTAGAATAGTTCACATAAATAATAGCCTGTTTGCATCTCATGAAAAGTTTTTAAGTGTAAAAATAAGCGCTTGCCTGCGCTCTTGATATTAGTCTATGTACCTGTGTTTACCGGCACGGTAAAAAGATACTCTCTCACATCGGCGTAAGGGCGTGAAACGCCTGTGGCATTGACATAATCATAACAATATAAAAAGAGGTAAAAAGATACTCTCTCACACCGGCGTAAGGGCGTGAAACGCCTGTGGCATTGACATAATTATAACAATATAAAAATATGAGGGCTTGTGCTTCTGCAGGAGGCAAGTCCTAGGGTACCCTACCGAAAGACCACAAGAGAGAGTGTTATGGCATGCGCAGCGCTATGTCTGGACGGAGCTAGAATAGTGGCTGAGCCAGATGGGAGACGTTCCATAGTAGTGCCATAAGAAGTGGGCGACGCGACTCTTGCATGTGGCCGCACACATGCAGGGGTTGCGTGGGGAGCAGGCGACGGCTTTGGCTCTCATGCTCACACCGCTCTGCAGGAGCGTAGGACACATGGCATAAAGTCATGTTAGGAAATCTCCGCATCGCTTAGACAGCTAAAGTAGATTGTTGAGTTAACATGGGTAATTGACATATAGATGATCTTGATACTCATTTATGACAATATTTATGTGTTCTATGAATCTTGGAATCATACCGTGGTGATGGTGTGACTCCAGGACTTAGTGACACCACACAGTGGTGTCATAATTTTATTTGTACTTACAGATGGAGTAAGAAAGTGATGAGAGGCATGGACGGACATTCGCTGGTGCTTGAAGGTACATACAATATAATCTGTGGTAAGTAATCACCATTCGTCTCTCGATTCTCCCTTTGTCACGTGTCTATCGTCAAAATCTCGCGATCCACGGTGGATACGTTTGTATCACGGATATGGGCTGCATTGGCAGCCCCGCCCCCACGAGGGTCGCGACATATTGGAGGTGCTGGGATCACTCTAGAATGGAGTGATCCTAGAACCAGAGAGACTTTCAATAACGAAGCAGAATATCCGTGATTGAGGGGGAGACGAGTGATTGGTGGAGCGAATGTCTGTCCAGCAATTCTCTAAATAAGGTTTGTTACATAAAGATTCAATGAAAATTTTCTGTATTGAACATGAATGGGTATCCTAAAATTATTATTGTTGAGTGATCTGACTATACTCAAATGTTCATATTGATGACATCATAATATGTGTTAAAAAAAAAAGAAAAAAAAAGGTAAATGCAAAGCAAATGTTAAAAGGCACCTGTTGAATGAGTTTCAACAATAAGGCACTGTTTAAATGAAGGTTCTGAGCTGTTTGTACATTGATAAATTGAGAGCAAATGTTAAAAGGCACCTGTTGAATGAGTTTCAACAATAAGGCACTGTTTAAATGAAGGTTCTGAGCTGTTTGTACATTGATAAATTGAGAGCAAATGTTAAAAGGCACCTGTTGAATGAGTTTCAACAATAAGGCACTGTTTAAATGAAGGTTCTGAGCTGTTTGTGCATTGATGGGTTGAGAGATAAGGCATCAAATATCGTTGTAAGGCACTTACGAACGAAAGTTTCGAGTTTCATACATTGATACTTACATTGACAAATCGATATCAAATTGTTGGTATAAATAAAATCGGTTGACAGGTATCAACCGATAGGTGGCACTAGACGTTTGTTTGCATACCAAAATGAGCAAAGTTGTATGTTGGCAACAAGCATAATGAAAAAACACAATCATTACTCTTTACGATATTTCGCAATAAAAATGTGAGATATTTCATCAAAATTCAAATCGTAATTTATGTGCTCGAATTTCTTGTATATTACTTAACCAAATTACCCATATAACAAAATAAAAACAGAAATTGACTTGGTACGGAAACGGAAATATAAACAAAATGGTGATATTTTGTGTTGTCAACAACGCACCTTACAATCGTTAGTGTTGGGGTGAAATCTATTTATGATTAAAAAATTATACGATGCTTTCGTATGTGATACCATCAGATGACAAAATTTTAATAAACTTTATTGATTGGTTTATACCAATGCGAAGTCTATGACAAGGGTATACAATATAACCTTGTTACATTTTGTTGTGTTACTTATCGGAACATGTTATAGATGTAAGATATTAAAGACAATATTTTTAATAAACCGTTTTATTATTTATTTATTTTGGTACCTTAAAACTTACTCCCTAGCTTTTACAGTATGCACGATATGCTCTATTGGTCAATAGAGTATTAATTAAAATTATAACATAAATCGTTGACCATGAAGTTACTCATTTGAGTAACTTAATGTTTCGTATTAATAATACGGTTAATTTAGATTGATTGATATTACATCTTATTATACCATTTTACTAACACGTGTGGATAAACGTATTGTAAATTGATAGATTTATAAAGGAAATTATGTGTTTCATAGTAATTATCGTGCGTGTGGGAACGTTACTTTCGAAATGCGATTTCGTATTGACCTTCGATACATCACTGTTTCCTTTATGAAGATACGCTCCGCACACTGAGATTTGGCGCCATTAGTGAACGGTAGCACAATTTTGTAAAGAAAAACGTATTTATAAATTGTTCACAGATGCAGAGAACAAAATAAAACACAACAATCAATTGGTGAGTATAATTACATTGTTTAATAAACAGAAATTAGGTGAAACCTTTAGTTTGGGCCACGGCGTTTTGTGAGCGGGAAGTAGTAGTTTCGTACTAAAAGTTGAAATTTGTCATGAATTTATAACTAGTTTCAGCGTCCTCATCATCTGTCCACAGGTTTCGGAATTGCTAGATAGGAATTTTGATCGATTTAAGTTGTTTCAGATATACATCAGTACATGTACTACAAGGATAATTATCTACGGATTTAGAAAGAAAGAAAAGTAAAAGTGACCAGAAAGGTTATCACCTAAAGCTTTATCAGGGCAATATAGGGTAAGAAGTTTCTTTATTTCATTGCATGATCAGTAAAAAACTCAACAAAGACATAATGTTCTTGTTTTAAATTCTGACAACAAACAACAAAACTATTGACAAACTTCTAATGATTTTATTTCGAGCTAGGTTAGGTGTAATCCAATAAGAATTCAAAATAACAAGAATATTATTGATGTACTAATCATAAATTATTGTATTTTGTGTGTGTTTGTGCATCGGTATACTTACTTGTTTGTTGATAGTTGACACATACAGGATCCAAATTAATGATATTTTTAGTGGAAAGCTCAATGAATATAATGAATAAGTACATTAAAAGATATACTGATCCGGAGAATAGAATTTACAGTTAGAAACCGCTGATGAGATTTGTTTAATCTTGTAAACAATGGTGTCAGTAGCGGCAACTTATTAACCAATTTGGTTGAAAAGTACTTGTTGATTTTTCATTGAGATTTACTTGCACATGAAGAGTCACATGTTTAATGATAATGAGGGAATGAATTAATGTGTTTATCTAAATGAATAATATAAAGTTTAAGATAAACCAATCTAACTTATATAAGTTTGAACTCATTGAGATAACATGTGAATCAAAGTTATGATTGACATTATTTTATACAAATTACTAACTTAAAGTAACAACAAGACACAAAAAGTATCCCTTTGTATCCTTTTACTTAATAAAAACAAAATGCATTCTTGTTGTGATTATTTATCTCCTAAATAAATAATATAAACTAAACTACCTCATAGTGTGATATTGAATACTCAATTGAGTACCTACCTAAACCTTTAACATTTTACCAATTTCACCAAACTTTAAAGCAATATTTCATTTTGGAAAGTATTTCTTAAACTTATTTAAACTATTGACTTTAGTTTTAACTACTTGTGTTTATGAAAGAGCAAGGCTTCTTAGTCATTCTGAGCAATTGATTTATACTTGAGTGAATTTGACCGTGTAAACCAATGAGTTGGGAATTTAAATGAAATTGTTTATTGATTGATAAACTGTGGCAATTGATTACATTTTATTGAACAATGCATACAATATAAGTGAATGAGATTTTAATAAATAAATATGAAATAAGCGGCTGAAAAATCAAAAGTAAGCAAATACAGGGGTCTAGGCTCCGAATATGATTTTGTCCCATTCGGTGTCGAGACCCTTGGTCCGTGGGGTCCTAGCGCTTTAAGGCTATTTAAGGAAATAGCAAAAAGGTTAGTCGACGTCACAGAAGACCGAAGAGCTGGCAGCTACCTCGGACAAAGAATTAGTCTAGCTATTCAAAGAGGTAACGCTGCCAGTATCTTCGGTTCCTTGCCTAAAGGGACTCCTTTTAATAATATATTTTAGTTATTAATTTTATGTTTTAAGGTTTTTAGTTTTAGTTTTATTGTTCTAGTATTTATATTATTTGTTTATAGTTAGTGTATTTTATAGTTTTATGATGTGAAATTGTTAATGTTACTTTGTATTAATGTATAAAAGCCTTCTTACATTTAATTGAAACAAGTTTATTCATTATGTAATTCAAAAGAATTGTACTATACATCCAATTTGAATAAAGATATATTGATTTCATGCTTTAATATGAAATATTTTTAAAATTATTTTCTACTGTTAAAGTTTAAACAATTGTAGTATGTAGCAATAAATGACTAATTAAATTCTCAAAATTAACATGAAAATAGAACCGAAACAAATCAAATTAAGTTTGATGCTTGTGGTTAGTGACATTGTTGTTGACGCAAAAAACATTGAATTGAAATGAGGAAACAAAAGTGAATTTACCATTTTGATGGTATCATTTCAGATTTCAAAAATAATGGAGTCCGTACTAATCTCAAGGCTTCACGATGTGATAAGGCATATTGAGGCACTTACTAGTGAATGTAAGGACCTAATAGGTACCACTTATATGGTCACTTTCAATAAGGCTAAGGCAGAAACATTATGCAAAAAATTAGAGGCGTTACACACAAGATTTTCTACAGAATTAAGCAATTATTTTAAAGTTAGTAATGACCCATCGGCGGACGATATCTCCAAATTTAGTGACATTCAACTGAAGTCTGAAGAGATCTTAATAGAACTCACTACTGAATTGAATAATCTTAAGGAAACGTCTAAAGAAACACGATTTAATAATTCTGTGGTTACCAGTAAGCTACCCAAGTTAAATCTTCCAGAATTTGATGGAAATATCCTCCTGTGGCAGCAGTTTTGGGATCATTTTTCCTCGAATATCGACGAACGTAATTTACCAGAAGTAGACAAGTTACTCTATTTAAAGTCGTCATTGAGTGGTGACGCTAAAGGAATCATCGATGGATTAAAAATTTCGCACAAAAATTATCAAATTGCAGTTACCACGCTTAAAGAGCGTTACGGGAAACCTAACCAAATTATCGATGCTCACTACGCTGCCTTGTACAAAATCAAATGTGCAAGCATCACAGCTGCTGAATGTCGTATAACGTTAAATGAAATAGAGAAACACATTAGGGTATTAGGTGCGTTAGGAGAAAATACAGAACATAATCATCTGAGATTTATCATCACTGAGAAATTTCCTGAAGATATTATTTATGAAATGAAGATTTCACTGAAATCTGATTCTATTGAGGACATGAGGAAGCAACTGAAAATTATTATTTCAGCCAGAGAAGAAGCTAGCCGAATTAAACAAGATAGAACATCGAATAATGATAATTATACAGTAGAGACACTTCATGCGAGGGATAAGATAAAATCAAAACCACAACAGTTTGTACAAAGGAACTTCCGTAATAAGGAAAGACTAAACGAAATGAGAAGGAAACCGTTTGTGAATAAAGTAAGAACCTTTTACACAAAAAACAACTATCGTAATAATGGTAATAATTACCGTCCAACACCTAATTATCAAATACAAAATACGTCATATGCTAATAAAAGAAAAGGAGAACATCTAAACAATAAGGACTTTGTTTCAAAACGAATCAAACTTAGACCCTGTATTTTCTGTCAACAACAACACTTGAACGACGAATGTAGAACAGTAAAAACGTTGGATCAAAGAAAGGAAAAACTAGGTCAACGATGTTACAATTGTTTCAGTCCAAACCACCAACTCAATGCTTGTTCCGTCAAAAGGAGTTGTTTCTATTGTGGAGTTATAGGAAAACACAACAAGGCTATCTGTCCTAAACGTTATTCATACCATGGAGGAAGACCAAGAGGTACGTCATCCAACAAGTAGCTAAACAACTTAAACTACCAATAATTGAAGAACAACATCTATCAGTTTTTACATTTGGATCAAACCATCCCCATGAATATGAAAGCGCATTAGTTAAACTGCCTATTTCAACAAAGACCGAAACAACTATTATTCTTTATGCTAACATTGTACCCACAATAGCTCAACAAGTTTCTTATCCTGAAAAGGAATTGAATCAATGGAAGGATAAAATTTTATTAGCCGATGATGGTTCACTTGGAGACCAGGTAGATATACTCATTGGAAACGATTACTACTTCACGATCATAAATACAGATAAAAAACAGATTAGTGACAATCTATTTTTAGTAAATTCACAACTCGGTTGGATAGTAACCGGCAAAAGAGAATTCGAAGTAAAAGACAACCTTACGGTAAACACTTACTTTCAATCTAGCGCAGAAGTTAAACTAAACAAACCTGACTTGCCAATAGACAACACCAACCTAAAGAATCTATGGGATTTAGAAAGCATCGGGATCACAGATTCACCTAAAATTACTAAGGAAGAGGATGCAGTAAAAAACTTTAATGAGTCAGTTCAATATTCCGGTAAAAGATACTGTGTCAGTTGGCCATGGAAAGAAAATTTACCCAATTTACCCACCAATTTAGAACTGGCCAAAGGAAGGCTGGTGAATCTATTAAAACGCATCAATAAAGAAACTTTGAAATTATATAATGAAACTATACAAACACAACTAGAAAAGGGAATAATAGAAGTTGTACCTTCGGAAGAACAGGAATGCAGCAAATATAAGATGCATTACTTACCTCATCATGGAATACAAGCTTCAGGAAAGGATTTGAGGATCGTCTATGATGCCTCAGCTAAGGTAAAAAATAGTTACAGTCTAAACGAATGTCTTAGAGCAGGACCCATTCTACTAGAAGACCTGACAAAACTCTTAATAAGATTTCGATCACATAGAATCGGTTTGACAGCTGATGTGGAGAAAGCCTTTCTACAGATTGGTTTGCAAGATGATAGCAAGGACGTAACTAGATTTTTATGGATCAAAGACATAACCAAAGCAGCAACTGAAGATAACTTAGTACATCTTAGATTCTGTCGTGTACCTTTCGGAGTTATATCAAGTCCATTTCTTTTAAACGCTACAATTAAACATCACTTACTACGTTCCAACGATAGAAGCGTACAGCAAGCCTCAGAGAATATTTACGTAGATAACTTAGTTACAGGAACCAAAACTAAACTCCAAGCGATAACATTACATAACAAGCTAAAGCAATAATTCAAGAAGATTTCAATGAACTTAAGAGAATGGAGTTCAAACTCAAGAGAATTTATAGAGAATGTTACAGATGTGAATGAGGAAACAATAGTTAAAGTTCTTGGATTAAGCTGGAACACAAAAAAGGACACATTACAATTGAGACCTAAAACTATAGATCTACAAACAACTAAAAGAGGAATTTTGAAAACCAACGCATCCGTCTACGATCCATGTGAATATGTAACACTTTCATTATTGTCTCCAAAGTTGTTTGTACAAGAATTGTGGAAGAACAAAACCAAGTGGGACTCACAGTTAACAACTGAAAACATAGAACAGTGGAGACCACTACACGAAAAACTACACAATTGTCAAGCCAATATACAGAGATATTGCACAGAAAACTTTGAAGACAATAAAAACCAGTTACACTGTTTTACAGATGCTTCAGCAAAAGCATACGCAGCAGCAGTATGTGTAGTAAACGAAA